AGAAATTCTGTCAAAGATATCGGTATAAGTCCTCTTGTGAGTCGCAGGCAGGAAATTGAAGGAGGGTCACAATCCCAACAATTAAGAGCCATAAATTCAGCAGCAAAAGAGTCCGGTAAAAGGATTAAAGATGACGCGGAAAGGAAATTATCAAGATAAGTAGTCCGAAGAGCCAATAGTAATGTTTTAAAAGTTTGTAAAGGGCTAAATTCCGGTAAAATATAAGGACAAGTCCACAAGTGGTCTAAAGTCTCAGGAAAGGAATTACATTGAGGACAAAGCCAACTTGGATTATAAAGATGAGGCTTTCGTCTCTGAAGAGTTGTAAGCGTTAGAAGCATATCTAAAAGTAACTTGATACGGAAACCACAAAACTCGGAACGGCCATTCCGATGAGAGACAAAATGCTTAATATTATTGAGACAAAATTTGGTGCAAGCCCAATCAATATCAGAAGTTGAAGAATAGGAATTAAATCTTGGTAATACAGCAAGAGTTAAAAGACTTTTAGCGTCAAAAATATCTCTAATAAATTTCCGGATATTCATATCCACAGGTAAGGAATTAAATTGTAAAATGCAAGGAGCCATCAATTCCGGTGGTGGAAAAGAAGAAAGAAGTAAGTCAGTATGAGCGGCTTTGGCTAATGCATCCACATAATTATTCAAAGGGTCGTCAGCATGAGCAGGAACCTTGATCAAGGTAACATCCAGATTCTTTTGCAACATAATAGTGCGTATGGAGGACCACAAAAAGTGGTTGGATTCTTTAAGCATTCTGGGAATAAAAGGAGCATCCACATATAAAGACCATAAAGAAAGTAATTGAGCACAATCAGTGGCGACAGTAATCTTTGAATTCCGAGGAAGGGAGTCCAATCCCTGCAATAAAGCAAAAACTTCTGAACGTAAAGCAGAAGGAAAAATGGAAGAGATGATATTATAATGGGATTCCAAAATAAATCCATCAGGATCTATAGCAGTCCATGCATAAGCCATCGAGGATGCCGGATGACTAGGAGGAGAAAGGAAGGAACCATCAATATAAAGGGTAAATACCGAAGAAGGAAGTTGGATATCAGAAATCCTAGGCACTAGTTCATTCGTAGGAGGTAAGCGAACCGGAGCAAAAAGATGAAATAGTAAAAGAGATTTGGCATAGCCTAACGAGGCAGAAAGTGAAACCGAACGAGTATCCGCATGTATATAAGTACGAGGTTTCGTAGGATAACGGATCAAACTTGATAACGGAACATAAGAGAAACATCCTTCAGAGGGACATAGTTTAAACAAAGTCTTAGAGGTAGAGGATCGCGGAATAGCAGAGGCACAGCCTTGGCATGCAGTAAAATCAGAAAGTAAATCATCAACCGATGACGCAATCCAATGTGAAATAAGAGCTTCATTACGTGGAGCAGGATAGGTAGTAATCACACGGCCAACGAGGAAAGAGTTAGTATTGCGATTAAAAGAAATAGCCCATTGAGGGTTAAACAAATAATTTCGAATAATATCTATAAAAGAAATAGAAGCTACGGTATGAGAACTAGGAATTCTAAATTGTTGTAAAATAAAAAAAGAAGGTGAATTAGGAATAACAATAAGATTGAACAAATAATTAAACCAAGCAGGCACAGATCCTTTGTTCGATACTCGTTTAAAAAAGCGTAAATCTTTCCATGAGAGAAGTCGAGAGCCACACGGTGTAATCAATTGAGCAAAAAAATGAGTGCAGAAATTTTTCCGAACATTTTTCATGGAAGTAAATAAATCTTTTGGTAAAATAGACCGGAGTGGAATCGCAGGACGTAAATCTTTCCTCAGAGGTCAGAACAGTAAAGACCACGTGATATTTAAACGAGAAGAGAACAATAAAGAATTAAATAAAGAATGTGTTCGCAAAGAAAAGGTGTGGGACCATGGTTCCAGGTCAATAGTAGAAGGGCAGACATCACAGTCCAAAAAACCTTGGAGATAAGTAATCATATAATTAGCAAAGAGCTTATATGAAGGGTGAGAAAAAATATTCTGCCATGAAGCCACATGAGATGATAGAAATCGACCAAACGCTTGTTGAATAGAGAAAGGCAACAGTGTGAAGAGTGTGGAAAGAGGAGTGACTGAGGCCAAACCAGCCTTCTGACGAATAAGAGAAAGCATTGGAGAAACCATGCGATTAATGGTGGATTCTGCAAATAATGTGGTTTGTAGGCGAAATTCTAGCCTCGGAAGTAATATTTGGTGATTATAAAGAGATGTGACTATATAAAAAATTTCTTATATTTGTATATCATAATTCCGGCCAAAAATTAACATAATTTTAGCCAGAATTATACTTAAAACTTTATTGTATCGTAACTTCGCCAATATTAATCGTAGAGAGATGATCTTACCGCCATTCGATTCGTCTTGATGAGACGGTTCTAATGGTATAAAATACGTCGAAATCCAATCACTAGATTAATTTCCGAAATTAAAAAAATATTAATGGTTTTTGTGTAATAACTCTGTCAATATTGATCCTAGAAAGACGATCTTACTACCATTCGATTCGTCTTGATGAGACGAATCTAATGGTATAAGATATATCGAAATCCAATCACTAGATCAATTTCCGAAATTAAAAAATATTAAATGGTTTTTAAGTAATAACTCCGTCAATATTGATCACAGAGAGATGAGCTTACCACCATTCGATTCGTCTCGATGAGGCGATTCCAACGAGCTATAAATCGTCTTTTTACAATCACTAGGTACCGAGAAATCTAGCAAAATGTTAAATGGCGCAGTAAACGTAAATCAAGAAATATTATAATGCCGATGTTTAACATTTTGTTGAATAACTCGTCAGCCAGTGATCGGAAAAGGATAAAACTACCACCATTCGATTCGTCTCAGTGAGACGATTCTAACAAGCTATGATACATCTTTGTACGATTATTAGATGCCAAGTTATTTAATATATTCTTTATATAACTGTGATTATAAACGGTTCTTTTTAATATAAGATTTTTGAGGATAGGTGTGATAGTGACTATAGATAGATTGTGACTATATAGGATAGATTTTAATAATAAAGTGTTTTGAACATTTAACTGGTGTGACTATATAGTAGAATGTGACTATAACGGGAGTGACTATAGAGGGAGTTGACTGTATCTATTACTATAATTTTAATATAGTTTTAACAGTTATTATACTTTTAATTATTATTAAATAATGTAATTTAATATATATTAAATTAAAATTAAATTTAATATTTTTTTATTACTACTGGTATTTTATTAAAAATCAATTTACTGAAAGAAATGGATTAAGACCAGTTTATATAAAATTGAAATTAGTTTTAAATTCTGTAACCAGTTTAGAATATTATTTATTAGTTTATAAAAGTATTTATTTGTTATCAAAATAATTGAAATAGTAAAAATAGATAAAATTATTCATTTTACAGAATACAGATTATCTAACTAATATAATTATAATCTTCAGATTCAATTAATAACAGTTCCTATAATTATTTTTAGCCAGTATAATTTTTTAACATCTAGTGATCTAATTTCAATGATTTTTTTTATTTTATAATTTTTATTGAACTTTATAATTTAAAAAAATTTATCAAAATTGAAATATTTAATATATAAATTATATAGCAAAATCACTTTTTTTATTAAAACTCAAAAAATCATTTTTTGTAAATATTTTTGCAAATATAAAAATTTTAGAAAAACTTTAGTATAATATAAAAATTCCAGAAATTAGTTTTTAATTGAAATTTTTTTTTGTATTACCATTAAATGATTACTGTATAAAATAAGTATTATAGTAATGGACTATAAATTTCTGGCAATTTTAAAATATTCTGAAAATTTGCTATATTATAATTGGAATTATAAAAATTTATCAGATTTATTAGGAATTTACCAAAAATCTGATAAAATTAAAAATAAATTTTTTATGCTATATTTTAGTATTTAGTGGACCAATTTTGATAAAACTTTTTTTAAATTGTAAAACTTAATAAGAGTTATAAAACAAAAAAAGGCATCAAAATTGGATTATTGAATGCCAAGAAAATCATATATCTCTAATTTTTAACTTTTTAAAAAAATAGGTTAATTTGCTAAAAATATGATAAAGGCTAGCCATCCAGTTTTCACTTCAAATTCGCAATTCGCAAAGAATTTAAAAAATTTAATTGGTTGATCATAACGAGGGAAATTTTACGTATTCGATTGGTTAAATGTCACGTGTTAAAAAATTTCGTTATTATATCATATTTAGGGGGGGTTAAGCAAAATCTTATGTGACACAAAATTAAATATTTTTTATTGGTTAAAATTAGTATTATATATATAATTGAATATTATTGGTTAAAAAAAATCTTACCTGGGGGGGTAGGGGGTAAGGCTCCTTATAAAACTAATACTAGCTAATATAGTCACTGTCCTTTATACAGTATTATAATTTTAGCGGTCTATTTTGAGTTAATTGATATATTATTTTAAAAAGAACAAAAGGCACAAACACATGTCCAGTAACTATTATAGAAATCATATTTTTACGTATACATAAAGCATTTCTTCAGAAGTTTCCAGTGAGCATTTCGCATATATTAAAAATAAATTGTTATATAATGTACTAATTATATCAAAAAAAAAATTATATATAGTAGAACCTTATCAATAAGACTTATTTTGATTTGATAAAATGGACAGCATTGTTTCTACAGCAATGCGGCAGTGCTAAGTATTTTGAATGTTTTTGTTATGTATATTATTGATGCATTTTAAATTTATCAACTGAGCACGAACATTAATAGACTGATTAAACGTGATTTGATTATAGCACTAACCGAATTAGTTACTTTACCTGTTACCCCTTTTGACATTGGCTTTACTTTGGCTTATTTTGCACCCGATTATGGCAGTGCTAATAAATTAATTTCCCGATTTGATCTACACTCCTTTAATTTTTTCAAGGATATTGTTTACTAGAATTCTTGATTTTTTTATTTTAAAAGAATGATGAAATTAATATTTATAGAAATGTATAACTGATCGAACGTTAGTCTATTTTTAAAGATTCACTTTATTTGGCTTAGAACAACAGCCCATTCGTTAATCAAAATCCTTTTGATGGTTACTAGTAATCAAATCTCCTGATTTTCTTTGTGGCGTACCGAATAAAATTTAGTTCAATAAGTTCAACATGCATTAATATTACTTCTGAGATAAATATGGAACAATTATATATCCGTAGACTAAAAAATTTTCCTTTATTAAAATTGTTTTCTCTCTAAAAATAAAAATTTTTATTATTTTCACGCGAATTATTTAATAAAATGGAAGACGCGACTTACGCGCTTCCAACAAGCGGAACGGGTACACTTCGAAGAGGTAAAACCCTAACCAGACCTGAAAGATATCAGCCTGCTTCTCCTCTACTTACTGGTAAAAAAGAAAGAAAACCTTTAGATCCTTGGGTTCTGTTTACACGTGCAGTTACTTTTTGGGCTCCAAGTGCCTTATTATCTAAATTTTTTGGCTTACGTGATAAACAGTCTCAACAAGCATGGAGGGAAAAGTTTGCATTATGTTTCATTGCTGCCATCATGGGTGGGATTGTTGCGTTCTTGACAGTTGGTCTTAGACCCACATTATGTCCCAGCTCTCAGTCTAACAACGCTGAACAGTTTTTACATTATGGTGCTGTGGATGGTAAGGAAAGAATAATTGTACAAAATTTATTATATGTCAGGTTCTAATTTCTTTATAATCATTTAGGTGTGCTTGGAGTTCTCGGTTGGCAATTTAACGTTAGTCAAGCGTTAATAAATGAAGTCAATTTCTTTGATATAATAGATAATAATGGACCTGGTTTTGATATAACGAATAAGTTCAAGCGAGATGTTAATGAGATTCCATCATGTCTTGCGCCAGGAATACAAAAATTTGCCGCGGTGACTACACCATTATGTACTAGTGGACCTGAGTGTCCACTTCCAAAACTTACACAATCTGCCATTGATCAATATCGACTTGTAAATACGACAAAAAAGGTTGGATTTGATTTTGATCAGGTTGGAAGGATTAAGAATTATTTTGTTATTGATGGCGCTGTTCTTAACATGGATTCATATATTGAGGCACACCCTAATCCAATTGAAAATGATTTGATTGATAATATTATTCGTGATGTGTTGAATACTAATCATCCTGAGGGTGGTAAAGATGCGACCCGCTTATTTTACAATCGAGAAGACACAAAACAAGTAATAGTATGTATAATGCAAAAATATTACGCAGGAAACATTGATAAGCAAACGATTGGATGTTTCACTTCTGACTTATTCAATTTAATTTTGCTTGTTGTAATATTGGGAATTGTTATGTGTAGATTTTTTATGGCTTGTATTTTCGATTGGTTCATTTCACATCGTCTTGCACATAAACCAAAGATGGAAAAAAAGACAACAGTTTCTTCTCCTGTTAAGAGAAAATTTAACATGAACGATGTAGGAAACGATCTTTTTACAGTGTTATTAGTCACTTGCTATTCTGAGGGTGAAGTTGGTCTGCGTATCACATGTGAATCAATGGCTGCTACTGATTATCCAGATGATCGTAAACTTTTGTTCCTTATATGCGATGGTATAATTACAGGTAGCGGTAATGATAAAAGTACTCCGGATATTTGTGTAGAAATGATGGAAGTTGTGGAAGAGTTTAAAAATCCACGACCTATGAGTTATATTGCTATCGCTGCTGGAAATAAGCAACACAACATGGCAAAAGTTTATGCTGGTCATTATTGTAAGTAATTGATTTCAAGACATAGCTTTTAAATTCAAATTTAGCTAATTTCGTTTCCTTGTCTATAGTATATAAGGAACGAAGAGTTCCAATGATTCTTGTTGTAAAATGTGGTGCCCAAGAAGAACAAGGAAAACCTAAACCTGGAAACCGTGGAAAACGTGATTCCCAATTAATTTTGATGAATTTCTTCAGCCGTATAACATACAATGACCGTATGACTGCTTTGGATTACGATTTATTTAGAAAAATTCATCATTTAATGGGTGTAACACCTGATTTTTTTGAAATTGTCCTTATGGTATGATATTTATTACATTTGGTTAATTGTGCTTAAATTAATTCTAATAAGAGATTTTACTCTCATTATCGATTAGGTTGACGCTGATACTAAAGTTTATCCTAATTCGTTAAGATTGTTGATCAATTGTATGTGCAATGACCCTCTTATTATGGGTCTTTGTGGTGAAACAAAGATCGCAAATAAGCGTGACTCTTGGGTTACAGCTATTCAAGTTTTCGAATATTATATTTCTCACCATTTGGGTAAAGGATTTGAATCGGTATTTGGTGGTGTCACTTGTCTCCCAGGTTGTTTCTGTATGTATCGTCTTAAAGCAAGAAAAGGTGATGATGATTGGGTACCAATTATTACAAAACCAGAAATTGTTCAAGAGTATTCACAAAATGAAGTTGGCACACTTCATCAAAAGAATTTATTATTGCTTGGTGAAGATCGATTTTTGACAACACTTATGCTTAGAAACTTCCCTCGAAGAAAGATGACCTTTTGTCCACAAGCTGTATGTAAAACTGTTGTCCCCGATGAATTTAAAGTCTTACTTTCTCAACGTCGTCGATGGATTAATTCGACAATTCATAATTTGATGGAATTAGTATTAGTTCGCAACCTTTGTGGAACATTTTGTTTCTCCATGCAATTTGTGGTGTTTATGGATTTAATGGGTACAGTTGTTTTACCTGTGGCTATTATGTTAACCTTTTTGTTAATTGTAAAATCTATATTGAATCCACCAAGAAATTTTTCCGAAACTATACCATTGTTAATGTTGGTAGCGGTTCTTGGGTTACCAGCTATATTAATTTTTATAACAACAAGAAAGTTAGTTTACGTTTTATGGATGTTAATTTATTTACTTGCATTACCTGTTTGGAATTTTGTACTACCAAGTTATGCATATTGGCATTTTGATGATTTTTCATGGGGTGAAACCAGAAAAGTTGAAGGTGAAGGTAAAGGTGATGATCATGGTAAAAAAGAAGGTTCATTTGATTCTTCTAAAGTACCATTAAAACGTTGGGAAGATTGGGAACGAACAAGACTTCGTAGGATGAAGCGAAAAGAACGTCAAAGGCAACAAATAGCTTCAGGCGCAGTTCATTTAACACATCAAGTAATACCAGATGATGAATCACAGTATGAATTATTGTCACCTCAAACTGATGATAATTATGCAGAAACTTCATCTAATAATTCTCAATCACAACAATATTATAATTATCTTGACGACGATTATGGTTCACGTCAACATGGACGAATATAACATATTTAAATCTTTTTACTTTAATATACATAATATAGGTGATAATATAATATGTGGTAATTTCCATCAAAAATTATAGTGTATTGTATATATCTTCTAGGATGATTAAAATAACTCATGCGATAGAACTAGAAAGTTATAACCTAATCTTTTTAATTTTAATTATTTTTTATTTTTATTTTTATTATTTTTTTTTTTTAATATCCACGTTAAAATAAATAAAATCACGTGATATTGTATTTGTAATACAAGAAATTGACACTACCCTCGGATGCATTTGCCGATCTCCGACCCATTTTGCAAGATCGGTAATTACGTCATATCTTATAGATCTTTTTTTTATTTTTGCAAAGTACGCGTAGTTTTCTTATACTCAAAATAACTAAAACCAAATTGTCCAATTTACATATACCTTCACACCATGTTCTCTTCCAGCTTCTGAATTTACTAATATAAACTGGGAATCACAAAGTAGTGCTATTTCATTTTTAAGCGAACATAACCTTATTCTTGAAAATATTCAACCAGAATACAAATGGAAAACACGTTCTAGTAATAAAATAAAGGAATTTATCTTTTACAGTGTTGTTGTGGAAGTGATATGAGTTTAAAAAAATCTAATTCAGAAGCAAAAGCACGAAAATCAAGGCAAATGTATAAATTTGTTGGGTGTCCTGCATTTGCATGGATTAAGAAAAAAAATAATAATTATATAAGTATTTATGGTTATCTTAAACATGTAGAGGACTGTCAGCGTTGTTTACCATACCAACCTCCACCTCTTCACCTTAATGAAACGGTAAAAAGAATGGCACAAAATTTATTGCAACTTCACGTTAATCATTAATCCTTCACATATTCTTGATGATAATATGGATTATGTAGCGAAACATTTAAATGGAAAAGTTATAATTAATAATGAAAGGTTTTTATTATCAAATCAAGATTTAATAAATATACGTAATTCAATGACAAAAGAAGTTTGGGGATTGGATAAATGTAAAGCAGAGGAAATTAATATAGATGAATTTTTTGGATCAAATAGTAAAGATAGTGAATTAATAGAAGCAACTATATATTACAAACCAAGAAAAGAGTTAAATGATCGGTTTATGTTAATTCTTGCAACAAAAGACCAAAGAGATCTAGCTTAGAAATTTGGACATCAGCAGATTTTACATCTGGATGGAACTTTCGGTATATCAAATAAAAAATTCTTTTATTTATATTGCTCGTATTGGACGATCAAAAAAAAGGAATTCCTATAGGATATTTATTATTTTCAGCCGCTGGAGGTGCACAAAGAGCAAGTAGTAGTTATAATCATTTAATATTAAAAGAATTAATACTACATTATAAAGATAAATTAGAACAAGAAAGAGGTTGTGAATTTGTCCCAAAGGTATCATTTATTTATTTTTTATGTTTAAAAAAAACCTTATCATGTATTAATTTATAATGTGAAATATTAGGTTGCTATGACAGACTGTGATCATAAAGAAAGACGCGCTTTAATTGAAATTTGGCCTAATATTCATCTAATATTATGCTTATTTCATGTACTTCAAAGTTGGGAAAATAAATTAAAATCTGTTCTTGGGCACCATGGAGGCAGTGTTGTACATTTTTGATGTCCGCAGCTTTTTTTGGTTGTCCCGGACATGTCCGCGCTCTGTCCGTACTCTTCTGTAACTTAAAAAACTCTACAAAAATTATATATATTTATGCATAATTGGATGCTAAACATTTTTGCTAAGTATCGAACAAGGTTATCATAGTAAAATTTTGAGGGGTTATCATTTCTTTTTTGTGTAACATGTCCCGGACATTGTCCCGTGACAACACTGCATGGAGGCCATGAAATTGTTGCATATAGAAAAGAAATATATCAATTTTTAAAAAACTTTACAGAAAAATTGAAAACCGTTACTGAATCTACTAATATCAATCAGGCAGAATATTTTTTAAAGGTATATTTTGTGGTTTAATTTTTTTGCATAAAAATTTTGCATAATATTATTACATGATCGTGAATTTTATATTTATATCATTTATTACATTTATTAATGATTATTTACTAATTTACAGAATAATTTAAATTAAGAAAGAACAAATCCTAAAAAGCTACTAATAATTAAAGGCGTATTGGATTTTGTTTATTATATCCGTGATTACTGGTGTGGAGATTTGGCTTCTGGATGGTGTACATATGGAAGAATTATTGCTGCTAACTTATTACAAGTGCCATTAGAAAAAATTCCAACAACAAATAATCACCTTGAATCTTTTAACAGTGAATTAAAGGTTTGCCAATTACAGAAATATCAAAACAATGACCATCTTTTACGGTTTGATATTTTAAGTGTAATCTTAATTAAAAATATTACCCCAAATATACTTTTAAAGAGAAACCTAAAACATGAATTGCAAATACAACTTAAAGAACGATATAAATCATATGTACCATTTTTACCGGAAGAAAGAATTCAACTTGAAAATCATTACAGGCAATTAGTATATTACACACCAGATCCTAATCGTGATGAAGCTGCTAAGTGGATTTGTAAGGAAAAAAAAAATAATTCAAGTAGAATGAATTTAATGGTCAAACTTTATACCTTTGGATTGTTTCTGACACTTCAACTCAATTGGAGCCAACAATATACATTATTCAATTGTTTCCTAATATTACATGCCAATGTATGGATTTTTATCTCGAGAACATATTAGAGCATCGATCATTTGGATCAATTGGTTGCGATTACAGCCACCTAATCCTAAATATTAGTAATATTAAAATAAATTATAAATAAAAATTAATTTCTATTAACATATTTATTTTATGTACATTTTCATCAAAATAATGAAACACCATTATTACCATCATAAGATCCTCTCCATAATCCACAAGATGCTCTTCATAGTCATGAAACACCGTTATTACCGTCACAACAACAAGAAGAATCTCTTCATAATTCTGAACCAACTCTAACGCCACCTAATGATCCTGAAAAAACAACTTTGCCTATAAATTCATCAATAAATCATTATGCAGCGATCTGGAAACAAGAGCATATGACATTAGCTACGAATTTACTTGCAAATTTAAATGAAATAGATTTCATTACAAAGAGTATAAACCGATTATCTGACAACATACCTGATGGAATTGAGGAAAATGCCAAATGCTTGAATATAGAAATGAAATCTATTTTAGAAATAAATGAGTGAAAATGAAGACATTGGAAAGCTAAAAGACATTTCGAATAAAATTTGGAAAGAGCGAAATATTCAAGGCAAAAGGAACAAATATATGTCAAAAGAATATATATATCCTTTGTCACCTTCAAAAAAACAACGTCGTCATGATTCTAATTCAGTTTCTAATACACGTATTTTGTTATATTTTTTTATAATAAAGTTTATATTAAAATAGCTTGAATATTAGCTTGTATATAGTAAATAACTCATTATTAAACGCGTGTTAATTGTTAATTAAAGTCAAATTGAAATTTATAATTTGTTAATGTATACACGTACTTTGCAAAAATAAAAAAAAATAAAAAGATGATCAAAATTTTACTATATGATATGACGTAATTACCGATCTTGCAAAATGGGTCGGAGATCGGCAAATGCATCCGAGGGTAGTGTGGTAAGATCCCCTTAGTGATAAAAGTAACCACACATTTTTTGCAGGGAATTTTGATTTATTTAATTAAAGATGGCAAATAAGAAGCAAAAGAAGAAAGCTAATAAGAACAACAATAATACTTTAGATACTACTAATAACACTTCATCTTCAGTAGCAAAAACGACAGAAACAGCGCAACAAGCAGCTCCTCCAGCATTATCACAATTATCAAAGAATGATGATAAACAAGCGAAAGTAAAGGAAAAGGAAAAGGAAAAAGAAAAAGAAAAGGAAGCAACTAATGTTGATGATGATCAACAAGCAGAAGAGCCTCAACAAAAGGGATTTAAAGGTCAAGCTAAAAAAGATATGCAAGCTGTCGAAGGATACGTTGCTGAAGGAGCTGAAGGTGAAGGAATTGATGAATCGAAATTAGATAAGGTAGAAATGAATAATTTAGTCTGATCTGTGTGATATAATATGAACATGTGATAAATTTTAATTACTGTTGATAAAATTTTCATTGATGTCTTGAGTAGGCTTGGAATATTGTAGAGACCGTCAATGAAGAGAAAAAGCGCCTTAACGACCAAAAACTTCAAAAGTAATATTTATTCATTATTTTTATTTTTTTAATTAGGTTGACTATTTATTTAATTAACATTCTTTTATACAAATCAATGAAGACAAAAGGATGCTGAAAAAATAAAAGTATCAAAAGAGGATATTGAATTTATTGTAAGTTTTTTTTATCATATTTATTATTAATTTTATTTAAACTGTATAAAACTCCAAACCCTTATTTCATTATGTTTAGATGAGAGAAATGGATGTGCCGAAACCAGAAGCTGATAAGTATTTAAAAGAAAACCAAGGTGATTTAGTTGAAGCATTGAAAGCAATGGTGAATGCATATTCGTAATTGGATCTTTTGAAGATTAATTTGCTAAAGAATTTATTAGAAAAAAAATTTGTTATAATTACGAGTAATTTTGATTCGGCCATAGTAAATCGTAAAGCTTTTATTTCTATTTAATAAATCGCGAGCGTTACACACGTTACACGCACACCTGCACAAAATTTTGGAGTTTATTCTTACAGGACCTGGATAATTATAATAAAGGTCATATCCATAATACTAATGAAAAATATAAAAATATACATAAATTATTTATACACTTTTATCCTTTAATATTAATTGTAATTTGTCATTAAAGAAATTATTTATTTTTTTTCCAACTATATATTTACAGTACAAGTTCGCAATTTCCTGAATAATAAATGATTGAATGTCTAGTAATATGTGAATATAAAATATAACTAAAGCCAATTGTTAAATATTATTCATAAATATATACAGAAATATAAGAAATATAGGAAAGCACAGAAATCAAGTTAGTTTGTGATGATCGAACATGATAAATTTTTGATTCTAGAAAAGCAGAAAAGCACCATCACATTTGGCAGGATCTTTTGAAATAATATTTGGCAAGGTTAAAAAAAACATTAAACAAATATGTATTTGGTAATAATTAATAAATTTATTATTACCTGGAGCATGAGATAGTCTTTCTAATGTTTCTAAACGGTTTCTATTTTGCTCTTAAAGTTCAAAATTTTGCTCCATTATTAGATTCAAAGTATTAACCTTATTAAGATTAAATTTTTGATACCAAACTATCAGAAAAGATGTATATTTTAAATATTTTAAATAAATTTTTACTCGTGTTCTTGATACAATTAAAGTAATATCTGGTTAGATTATTTGGTTTAATTATTTGATTTACCATATCAGTACAGTAATTAATTTAATATAAAAATACACTTTATAAAAAACTTATGTATAACCTCAAATATGAGAACCTTTTTGAGTTCGACTTCAGTTCGAACGTTACCGAGTACTATTATTAAGAGATATTCCCTTACCATTCAAAATTCCAAATCGTATCTTATTTGCCCCATTCTTTCACGCAATTATTCATTACAAATTGAAACCGATAAACCAAAAACTTTTTCCAACCAGCATATTATCCCCCGTCTTCCTATTCCAACTCTACAGGAAACCACTGAACGTTATAAAAAAAGCTTGTTACCAATTCTTAAGCCTGAAGAATATACCCGTGCTGCTAATGCAGTCGATGAATTTGTTAAAGCTGACGGTCTTGGTGAAGTTCTCCAGAAAAGACTGCATGAATTAGATAAAATAGAAAAGGTACAAGGATTACACCTGAAATATTATTATTATAACTCTAATTATTATTGTCATTATGGATTTTGATTTTATTTATTTGATAATAGTATAGTTGGCTCGAAAATATTTGGTTGAATAAAGCTTATCTTGAATGGCGTGAACCTAGCATTATAAACGTAAATTGGTGGTGCGAATTCAAAGATCATCCTAATGGGGTTCTTAAACAAGTGCCAAAGGGTCAAATAACAGATTTTCAGATCAACAGAACGGCTGGCCTTATTTCCAATACATTAAGTTTTAATGACGAAATTAACAAGTAAATACTATATAAATATTCGCTAATAATTTATTAAAAGACGGTGTTATATAATTGATTGGACTTTGGTATGCCTATGTCTTGTATCATAGTGAATTATTACCTCCGGAGTCTACTCGTCAAGGACCTCTATGCATGAACCAATATAAAAAACAATTTGGCACAACTCGAATTGCTGATTCTCCAGTTGACCGAGTTATTTCTCCTTGGCCGGCAACTGCTAAACATATAATTGTCTTATTTAGGGATCAAATTTTTAAAGTTCAAGTTTTAGGCGAAGGAGGAGCAAGAGTTACTATCAAGGATATTGAAAGGTTATTATTATCTTCATTTAATTATTCTTAATTACTTATAAATTTATTTATGTTAAACATCCGTTGATATCACGCATTCGTAGACAACTTAAGTCAATCGTTGAACAAATCAATAATACCAATGAATTACAACTTCCTATTGGTTTACTTACTGGTGAACATCGAGACACTTGGGCTACGGTAAAAATATTTACATTTACATGTTGATGTATTATTATAATGTTTATTAAGGTAATAAGGTATCTGTTTAGGCACGCAAAGCTCTCGAATCTCAATCATCAGAAAATCGGTCTAATTTTGAGGCAATTGATACGGCATTGTTTAGCCTTTCATTAGATGACTATTCAACCGATAGTGATATTGACGTATCTCATCACAATCTTTTCCATGCATTTAATGGTCGTAATCGATGGTTTGACAAATGTCTTCAATTAATTGTACAGAGTAATGGTCGTGCTGGAGTTAACGGCGAGGTATTATTATAATTTCAATAATTTGATAGTATGCTTTAATTACTATAATTGACCGTTTATGTAAAATATGATAAGCATTCTCCTGCCGATGCAGTTATTCCTGGACGTATCTTTGATTATATTGTATCAAAGTAAGTTGTATTTTTTACAATACAAAATATTTATATTTTTTTTAAAAAAAAATGTTTTTTTTTTTATAAAGGGAACCAGCACAGGACCCACCAAATAGTTCTTCAATTCCACTTCCAACCCCTCAACATCTCAAATGGGTTACTTATCCTTCATTGGAAACTATTCTCGAAAAAGCACAATCTAATATTCAAGCAGCTAATGATAATGTTGATAGTGTTTTATTACACTATAATGAATACGGATCGAATTGGCTTAAAAGTGGTGTGTAATCAACTTAACTTAATACTTTTGTCATATATTCTGATTTTCAATACAAATATAAATTTATTTATTTAGCTAAATTAAGTCCGGACGCATTTATCCAAATGGCGTTGCAACTTGCTTATTATCGCCGGCAGGGGGGACCATGTCCTACTTATGAATCAGCGTCAACCAGAGGATTTTTACATGGACGTACAGAAACAGTGAGGTCTTGTTCAATTGATAGTGTAGCTTTTACAAAAGCTTTCGATGATAAAGATTTCAAGGTATTCTACTTAATAATACATTTGAGATTTGGAGTTCAAAGTTATTTTTCTTACACTTTTTTTTCAATTCGGTAATTTTGTTCCCTTTTTTTAGAAAGAACAAAAGCTTGCTTTATTAACAAAGGCAATTGAAACACATCTTGAATATATGATTTCGGCTACAAATGGTACGAAAAAAATAATTTATTATAATTTTATATAATATTTTTATTTATCCTTACTTTTCAATTAGGTAAAGGCGTGGATCGACATTTATTAGGACTGAGATGTCAAATTCAGACCGAAGAAGAAAAATCACGTGCGTTAATCTTTACAGATCCTTCATACATTCAATCGATGTATTTTAAACTCTCATCATCTAATCTAAGTCCGGGGGATTATTTTTATGGTGGATTTGGAGCCGTCGTTCCTGAAGGTTACGGAGTTAATTATGCTATTGGGAAAGAGGGAATAAAATTTAGTATTAGTAGTTATAAAAAATATAGCGAGACAGATAGTACATCTTTTAGAAAAATATTAAAGAATTCTCTCGATGATCTTAGAGATTTTGTGGCTTAAATTTTTCCATGTCAAGGTGGTATCATGTCAAGGTGGTGATACTTTTATAATTTGACTGAAATTTTCTCGAATCAAATATAGGAATATATATATACAAGTTTTCGTAATTCGATTACGATTATTGAAAAGAATAGAAAATTAATCATAATAAATAAAAAATCGGGAATTTTAATTTAATTTTATTATTTTTTATTATTATTATTGTTGTTGGTATTATTATTATTATTTTTCTTATATACAGATCCATATTTTATGATGTATATATGACAGATTTATGTCAATGGCCGAGTGTCAGAGTTTACGACATCTCATTTGAAATAGAAAAATAAAACTAATAAAAAATTTTTATAAAACGTGAATTTTAATTCCATTATCAAATATACTGTTTTGTAGATGATCTCTCTCTATAATGTTCATTTGATATCTTTCATCACAATTAAGGAGTAATGTTGATAATCAAATCTTCTCCAGTATAAATAGGATGTAAAGTTTTATCAATATAAGTACTAAAAGTGGATTTTGGAGTACCAATAAATTTGAAACCTTTAGCAGAAATAATAGAATCTAACATAGGAATAAGATAACTTGCTAAAGGAGTTTTATCATGAATATTTCTAACAGATTTTAAATTAATTAATTCTTGTTCAAAATCATCTAATACAAATACGCAAGGAAAAGTATTAAAAAATTTAAATAATAAAGGATTATTTCTAGGATCTTTCGCATCAGTAGCTATATATATAACAGTATTGGCACCTTGATCTGTTGAATGAAGTGGATTTTTACAATTAACCTTATTAGAAAATCCATTAATTTTGTTTGAAAATTCTGGTATATCCGGTATATAAACCCTTTTATTATTACTATTATTATTATTATTATTATTATTATTATTATTATTATAACTAGTAAAATTATTATTGTTGTTGTTGTTGTTGTTGTTAATAATCTTTGTCGGAATAGGTTTCTTTTTATTAACTTGAGTACTAAGTGGTTTATCATCACCTAAATCAACACTTTCATCTTCCAAAATATCTTGATCATGAGTACCACCTTCTAATTTATCAATTTCTTCAGGTGTAAAATTTGTAAAATTATTAATAATTTCATGATAAATATTATCAATATTTATACGAGCAGTTTTCATAAAAAATCCATCTGATACTCTTATATGTAATCCAATAAAATTTTTTTCACCACCTAATTTTTCAACTATATTATTGGAAGTTTCTTTTAATATAGGATTATGAGGTATAATTTGTTTTCTAATAAATTTTAAATATTCTTTACTATCATCTTTTTCAGGTAATACACGAAATGATCCAAATAATGATCCTAAATGTAAAACTTTCTTTTCAATTTTATTTAAATCATTTATCCTTAATTTTCTTTTATATTTATCAAATTTTAAAATTGTATTATCCATATCATTTTTATCATAAATTCTATAATCCCATAATGTAGTATCTTTAATAAAATGTATATCATTATCTTTATTAATATTAAGATTATTTTCAAGCCATTCAAAAGAATGATCCCATCTATCAATTATTTTATTCCATTCCCTAATAGGGTTCATATTTATTAAAAAACCCCATGATACTGTTGTATAAGCATAATAATTTAAACATTCAATTGGTAATGGATAATCTCTTGATATATCAACACAATGTTCTAATCCATTCTTTGTAGTTAAAAATAATCTTTCATATAATTTATCAAATCTTGCCCAAGGTACTGGTGGTCCTAATAATACAGGTGGTAAAAGTAATGTTCGATTTAATAATTTTGATAATAATAATGCATTTTCAAGTGATATTCTTTGATTATGATATCCACTATGAGTAAAATATGCTAAAAATTTTTCTTCAGGGTTTATATCAAAATCTATATTTTCTTTTACTTCAACATCTAAAAATTTTTTAGTTGATTGTGTGGTAGGTGGTTTATTATAATTATCAATTTGGTTATTATTATTTGAAAGAATATTTTGAATGTTTGAATCATCCAAATCGTACGCTGGTAATCTTTTTAAAAGTGTATAAAAAAAACCCATTAATAAAAACAATATTAAACTTAAAACGAACACTAAACGTGTTCTAAAAACTAATATTGCCGGCATATTCGTTTTTCTAAAGTGGAGGTGGAGGTGGAGGTGGAGGGTAAGGATAAAAAAAAAGAAAGTAAAAGTAAAAAGTAAAAATTGTTTGCTTTGTTTTCTGAATTCTACTTTTTTAAAATTATGACCAATTGCATATACTTTATGTCATTTAATATGTTTTAATATGTGCGTCGATCATAACAACTAATTTAATTAAAATTCTTTCATGATTGGATGGATACAGTTGAATACAGTTGATCTTTATGATTTTTGGAAATTTTATTTTCATCCAATTAATTTTATTAAATAAAAAAAAATAAAAAAAAATTTTTTTTTTTTTCCACCTTTTCTTTCTTTCTTTTCTTTCTTTTTTTAAAAATCACATCTATTATAGCACAATTTTTTTTTAAATACGTTATTACGATGTAAGAATATATTACGATGTAGAGGGAGGTGCAACACCTAAATAATTATATTCTCCAACATTTTCTGGTACATAATCTTTATCAATATGTGGTGTTATAGGATTTGTGATTAATGTAAACTTGTGTGTTTTCTTGTGATATTCTATAAAGATTAAATTAAAGGAATATTAAATTAAAAAAAAAAAAGATTAAATTAATGGAAGATTAAATTAAAAAAGTCAATTGATTTAAAATCAAAATTTACCATTCTCAAAAGATTCTTCGACAAAACATTCTTCACATAGAACAACTTCAAGACTTTCATCACATTCATTACAAAGATATCGTGTTCCAATTATTGGATCCATATGACATCCATCACACTTTTTCAACAAAAATATAACTTTTAATGTTAAAAAAAATTTAAATAAAATTTTAAAAAGAATAATAAATAAAATTAAACTTACACAAAAACCATAATGCACTGGTCCCGTAATAAAATTACACATCTATCAACAGAATTTATGTGAGTTAAGCAATTTTATAATTTTATAAAAATTTAATTTTTGAAAGTTTTAAAAAATGTAAACCTGATGTATATTATCGTCCTGTGGGCGACCCACTGACATCATTACATTCTTGATACTACTTTCATCATCATCATCGGGCATATAAACTGTTGGTGGTGGTCGAGCTTCCAAATACGATAATCCAGATATCCTAATTTCAACAAAATTTTAATACCAAATAAATCAATCCACCTGATTTGTGACCAGTTTTGGCGCTCATAATTAAAAAATTAGATTACCTTAAATGTCGAGGTTTTTTTTCGGAAGGTAATATCGATTTTGGTTTTGACGCCCTCCCAGTTTTTTTATTCTTTGGTTGTGAATTTTTTGTTGTTGCTGCCGCAAACTATTTTTTTTTTTTAAAAAAAAAAAAATTTAATGACTATCCTTTAAAATTTTAAAAAGAATCACTATAGGTGTGTAGGGAGTGGCTGAAAATGCAAACTTTTTTTTTTGTTTTCCTCCCTACACACTTCCAATAATTACTGAAACATTGGGTATTCGTCCAGGAACGGGTAAGCCATGCTTTGCCAATTTTATAAAATATTTTTGTACCCTGCTAGCCACCTTTTATGAGAAATATTATATGTAAGTTTATTATAATTTAAATGACAAGATGCTAGATGTTTATTAACCTGCTTCGGTGTTCTTGTTCCTAAAGCTTCAGAAATTTTCTTAAACCTATGAGACTGAATTTCTTCATCTGGGTAAATCGCAAGTAATTCTACCAGTCGACGCTTTTTATCGAAGGAAATTTTAAATTTTAATACAGATTATTCTCGATGTGCTGAAATGAGAGGTACGTGTTATAACATACTTGTTCTTCATCCGTCCAAGGTATATTATAATTTCCCGTTTTTGGCGAACCTTCTGATAATTTGAGATCACTAGATTTCTGACAATAATTTATGTTTAAAAGAGAACATAATTCATAATTATTATTTAAAAAAGTTCTACTTAATTACCTTTTTATTATTTCTTCGATTTGATGATGTTAAAGTAGGTGAATAACTCGTGCTCGCAATAGTAATAGGAGTATTAAACGTTGATCTATTTGAAACTGCACTATATATAAAACCAAAAATTTTTTCAATTAAAATGATGCATATATATACACATGTATTTATTTATTTATTTATTATTAATATTTTTTGGCCTATGAAATATTTTCTAACCTCGCCGATTCATTTCTTATCGCCCCTCTTTTTTTAACTGGTGTGCTATATAATGACTGTTTTCCTTTTTTATTTGACCCAATGCTCTGTGGAAGTGTGTCATCATCAAAAACTAGGTTAGTTTTCCTTTTAGTACGAGTTGACAAAACCGCATTTGGGGGAACTTTAAAACCCAACTCTTGAGCTTTTTTATGAACAAATTCAGCGGGGTCAGGTGATTTTTCATCATCACTTGTCGATGACTATTTAAATGATAATTAATTTTTTTTTTTTAAAAAAAAAAAATTATTATTGTTTAATACTAAATAATAAGTATCATAATAATATAAACCTTGGAAACTTCTCGCCCTGAATTAACAAAGTTATATAAGTTAAAATATATCATTATATCATATAATCAAAAAAATTTCCCGATGATCTACCTGGACGTGGCGGTGGCTTATACTGTGAAGGCCGGGTATGATATTTGCTCCAATCGACTTGTGGAACACCAAATATATACTGGCGTTCGGGAATTTTTTCATGGGTCTTTGAAATATGAAGATCACGCGTCTTTAACGATGAACCCCAAAAAAAGAACCAAAAAATTATTATTCACTTACCCCATCGCGCAATTTTTCAATAAACATTTCCGGATCTGATATAGCACGTTGTTTTATATCTTTTATTTTTTTGATATCTTCTTTTGTTTGTTCAAGTTGAAATTTAAGTACATTTACGGCTCTTAAAACCATTTCATAACTATTAAAAAAAATATTTAATAAAAAAAAATTAAAAAAAAAACGGTAGTTAAACGCGAATAAAGAAATGACTTTAAACTTACTCTTCATTCCCATTTAATAAAGTTTCTTCTGTAGAAATTTCTATTACACTTTCCATACCATTAGAATTTGTAGTATTTGTTTCAACATTTTCAGAGTTCGTTTGTTTTATTTGAGTGACCTCTTGTTGTATTTCTTGTAAAGGTTGAGGTAATTGTTGTGGTGAAGAATTTTGTTGATCTAATTTTTGTTCTGAATTTGAAATATCTTGTCTTGGTTCATCAATTTGCATCATATCACTCGAAGCTTCCACAATATCTTCTTCTTTTTGTGGTTGTTCTACTGTAATCGTGTAATTTCGCTCTTGTTCTTGTTCAAGCTGCGGTTGTGGTTGTTGTTGCTGCGGTTGTTCTTGATTCATACATGACTTTGTAGAATCTTTAGTAAGGCCATTAACATATTCTACATATTC